TAAAAAAATATTTTTTTTTAAATTTACTCAGAAAAATTTTTCTTTGTATATACACCATTCTGTACGTCTAAAAGACTTTTGACATTTGCCAAGAATGTTCGTTTAGACGCTGTCATATAACCATATTCTTGACAATATTGTTTATACGAATCGTACAATGACCTTTCATCTAAACACTCAAAGTCAGTTTCATCTATGAACAGTTCATATACACTCTTGTTTGCTTCTAACAATGTTTGTCTCTCTTCTGTAATGTGGAATTTGTCTTGGATTGAACTTTGAAATATCTAATGTCATAAAGTATGAGAACAAGTGGTTGTAAAAGTCAGATGTCAAGTTTCTGCTAAGTCGTCAAAATATTCTGTATCTTGCATATGAGAATCTGACGTTCTGACAACTACATATCTTCTGTCAGAACTTTCTAACTTCATCGGAACAGCATTGTTTGAAACCATAATGAAGTTTGCAACATTTTCACAAACTCTTTGGTCTTTATATTTTCTTTCAACAACTCCAACTTTGTCTGTTATAAGACTCTTCAAAGCATCTGAGTTTAAAACTTTTGTTGTATCTATACTTTGAAGTTCATTGCAAACTATAAGTTTCATATTCTCTATTGAGGAGTTAAACTTGCCACAGATGTTTTCTAAGTTTGTCATATTCGGATTCGAATAACCTTCTAACAGTTTGCACAAAATATCTGTAAAGAATGTGTTCTTACCAGTTCCTTGTTTTCCAATTATAATGAGAGCAGTTTCATTTTTAGCACTTGGATGTTGTAAGATGTTTGCAAACCAACATAAGATATACTCATAGACTCTTTCGTTTCCATTGCATATAATTTCTTTGACATGGTCTAACCAAGCTTCTATAATATTTTCTTTCCATTCTACTTGTTCATATTTATATCCAGTGAAGATAGAATAGAAGTTTGGAGAAGGTGTATAGAACTTTATACCTCGAACTGAAAAATCTTCTAACTTTGACAATAAGATATCCCAAGCATCTAACATCTTCATGCCAACTTGTACGACTTTTATTTTCTTAAGTTTCTGTCTACATTCTTGTTCTGAAACTATTGTTGCTCTTGGTTTGTTAAAGACAACATCCCATTCTTTCATGACATAACATTCTGGGCAGAGTCAACATAAATGACTAAACGTTTCAAATTCTCGACTGCTTTGTTATAATCTCTAAATGGACACATATTTCTGAATGCTTGGAAGTCATAAAAATCTGAAACATCTATTCTGTACATTTTTATAAAAATAAAAAAAATATTTTTTTTATTCTTGACTTTGTTGTTCCATTTGTTGCATTTGTTGTTCTTGAGCTATTTGTTGTTGAAGTTGTTCTTGTAATACAATACTTTCACCAGTTGCATCTTCCAATTCGAAACTTTCTGCCGTCATTGACAAATACATAGGACATAAAAGTTTTACAGGAACAAAGTTTGCGTCAACTAATGTCAACGTTATACTTGCCAAAGTGTTTGAGTTCACTAAGGTTGAAAATTCTGCATTCGAATGAACAATAGCAAACCAGCAGAGAAAGTATTGTTTATACGCATAAGTATCTTTTGGTCATAGTAGTTTCTGTCGACATTCGAATAACACTTTGAACCTAAGTTTGAAACAATATATAAAATAGGTGTACTTAAAGTCAATGGAACAGACATTCCTTGTATGACACCTTTTCCTGTTATAGGAAACTGTTGGTAGTAAAAACCAGAAATAAGTTTTGTATTATAGCTCATATTGTTTATAGTAAACTCAGTCGGACATCCAAACATAATGAAACCTGCTCTAGTTGCAGCACATGTTACACCTGTACTTAAAGTATTAAATAAGTCAACAAAACCTGTTGGTGGTATATCTGAGTAAGTATCTTCAAAGGAGTATTTTTTACCATTCACAACAATAAAGTCTTCTGGTGTCAAAAGAGCAAAACAGGCTTTAGTCGTCATTGTGTTTAAAGTTAGTTTACAATATCGTCCTTGAGGACTTTGTAAGTTTGTTGTTATAGAATTATATGACTCAGGGTTTTTAGTCGTAATAGTATAAACCATTATATCTTCTGCCATTTATATATATTTAAAAGTTTTTCTGAAAGTGGAGAAGAACTTCATCTAAACTTTCACATGGCGTTTCTTGAAGTTCTCTGTCTAAGAAGTTCAAATATTTTGTAAAGACATAGAACTTTCCTTTGTCTACACGAACAAACAAAACAGGGTCTTTCATATCGTTCAAAAGTGTGTAAAGTCCTTTACATGAAATAAAGTCTATATTATTTTTCTTCAAACATCTTTCAAGAAGTTTTGACATTTTTACTTAGCAAATAAATTTTAATGAAATGTTGTGGTCGTCAAATATTTTTATGACGTCTGGGAAACTATACTTTAAGTTCAACGTTTCACCTCCTTTCATAACGTATATCTTGTCAATGACATTATATGAAACACCACAGCAACTAATGTCGGGTTCTATTTCTTTGATGTTTATATCGTCTGCCTCTGTCAAAAGTTTCAATAGTTCTTTCAAAACTTCATGAGGTGCAATGACATATGAGTTCACTTTTACAGGGTTGTGTTCGACCAAGTTTAACATTATACCTAAAGCTTGACAAATCTTCTCCTGAGTTTGAAGTTTGTCTTTAAGTTGTTGGTAGTCATTTCGAATATCTGCAACAGAACTTAAGTCTCTGCTAACTTCAGGATATGTTGGTTGTTCTTTTACAGGAACAATTGCTATACCATCTTCGTCTTCGTATGGTTTCCCCACTTCAACATCTCTGTCTTTGACATTGACAATAACACTTTGACTGTTTGTTTGAGTTGGTGAATTTAACTTCACATCTGCCACCGCCATTAAACCTTTTGAAACACTTACGCTTCTATTTTTCGGAAATGACATTTTACTTAGAATAAAAAGATGGACGTATTCGAGTATCTCTTCGAATTGAAGCAGAACAAAGTTTACACACACAAACAATACAAATACATTGACAGAATAGTTCTTTATACAAACAATGGTAAATGTTATAGAATAGCAGTCTTTGCTGAACCTAAATATTTTCATAAAGCAAAGAAAGTTGGTATAACCGAGATGGTGAAAGTTCTTGACGTTGACAAAAATATAACAACAAAACTTACAGATATTTCTAAAGGTAAAGTTTATCTTACAATATTATGTCAAAACTGGCGTACTGTCAATATTTGACGGAGAGAAGTCAGTTCAAGAACAACTTACTGACCTGCTGCCAAAATCTGCTCGATGGAAGCTGTCGTTATGCCAATCTGAGGAGCCCCAGCAGGTTTCATCGAACGAATCTTCAAAAGAGCATCTTCCGTGAAAAGTGCTATTGGTTTTGTAAACTTCTTTGCTTTCAATTCATCTGGACCGTCTCTGTCACCAGTATATTGTATTTGTACAGTACCAACAGTTGAAATACCACCCATAAAGTCTTCTGAGTCAGCAAATGGAATGCCAAGCCAAAAGTTTGAACGGTCTCCATTTGTATATTGAGTTTTTTGACCTCCTGTATGAGTCCATACTTTCACATATGGCATAATAGAACTTTGCATTTCAGGGTTTATGGTTGTTGTGAAGTTGTTGTTAAAGTTCATAGCATCTAATGTCAAGTTGTATGACCTCATATCCTCAACTGTAGAATATTCTTCTCTTGGATAATATTTGCCATCTATGTTTATATGATATTTAATACCGGGGTTGTAGAAACAAGAATAGTCATTTATAGTTCGTCTGAACAGTACAAACATAGTATCTGCATGTTTCATTGCAGTTGTTAAAGCAATATCTGTTCTTGCACCTGGGTCAGCACTTTGGTTTCCAACTTCACCTGCAAAGTCTTTGACAGATATTTGGTGTATAGGGAACATAAGTGGAACTGCAATATATTTGGCAGCTAAAGCATTTGAAATATCTGGGTCCAACATATAGACTGCAAGTCTGCTTTCTATTCTCTTGCATTCAAATTTTTCGCATGTGAACTTAACTGGGTCCCAAGCATCTCCAGCAGCATTGAAATAATAGTTTACTTCAGTGTTGAGGTTTGAGAAACCAAAGTCTAAGTCAACCTTGCCTTTGCAAAATTCGGCGAATGACGTTTTATTTGTTCCCATTACGTCTGTAAGAGTGAATGGGTCTTGTGTTGGTGCAATGACTAAGTTATTTTTGCTTGGAGTAAGTTCAATAGAAATTTTTCCTGCCCAGTTTGGCAAGTATCTTAAAAACCTGAAGATGAGGAAAGATGACAAAGGAACTCTAAGTTTCAGTTTTACTTTGGTTACTGCTGCTGCAGTTTGTCCAGAAAGGTTAACATAAACTCCTGGAACGTTAGGGTCAAGTCTTCTTATTTTCTCAATAGTTGCATACTGGTCTGTTTGTTCTCTAGCTTGTGGTTGTACGGAGTTTCTCAAAGCGAACCATTCATAGTTTGCCCATGTTACTGTTTGAACTAAGTCAGAGTTAGAATATATCTTATATCCCATGAAAACTTCTGGAGCATATTGGTATCCGACATAGAAAATTCCATTGCAACCTTTCTTGTCAGACAACTTGGCAGAAGGTTTTATTTCAATGTCTTGTTCCACGTATAAGAATGAGTTGTCAATAGAAATAATATGAAACCTGTCGCAAGCAATATCTACTGTTGTTGAAGAACCTTCTCCAAACTCACCTACGTTTCCATAAGAAACAGCAGTTGTATATTCGTAAGTTCCAGGAACTATTTCTGACCTTCTAATGGCATTGTCGCATTCGTTATACCATTCGGAAACATTTCCGTTCATGGCATCCAAAACTGTTGGCGTTATATTCTGAGCGGCGTACATTTCATATGGGTAAAAATATAGAATAGTTGGATTTATTTGTCATAATTGTTTCGGACCAAGCTTTACTTTCTTCCTGACTGAGTTTTTAACTCTTCTTTTTCCTTCATTGCCACTACTTTCACTAGATGAAGTTACTTCTTCACTATTTTCACTTTGTTCTACTCTTCTTCTTTGGTGTCGCTTTTGGTAACTTGCCCTCTGCTTCAAGTTGTTGCATCTTTGCCTCATGTTCACCTAGTATGTTGTAAATTTCCCATGTCCTTTTTGCCTTTGGGCTCTGGTCGCCCATCTCAGGTAACCTATATCCTAGAAAGATTTTGTCATAGTTTGTATTTGAGTCTTCGCGTATTGTTTGCATGACTCTTTCCTGAGTTTCCGGTTCAAGCTCTTCAAACAGAGCTTGTCCATATGGAATAAGCTCGTTTCCAAATATATGTTTTTGTAGCCATTCTGGTTTTCTTTCCATGTTACCAATAATATCTTTTGTGAATGGGAAAGCTTTTACCCAATGTTTCAGTCTTGCGTCATTTATTTCTGTAGTTGGTTTTATTTTGTCAAGGAACATGTTTTTCAATACTAACATTTCATTTGGTACTGTCCATTTGAGTTTTCTTAAATATTCATCCCTTCTCGGTTCATTGTCTGCAAAGTAAGTTTTTATGACATTTTGCAAACTTTCGTTTGCAAGGTCATGTACAATAGGTTCTCTTCCTTCTCTCTCCCTAACTTTCTTTCTAAACTCTTCACCAAATATACCATCTCTATGGTTCTGTGTAGTTCTTTGAGATAAATGTTCTAGAACGTCAGGTGTTATATTTCCATCAGCCATGTTCATTTCATACTGGTTCAAAATATCTGCATCTTTCATATCTTTCAATGGCATTAAAGCCGCGCTGAAAATACCAGCTATATCTGGTTCACCATTCACTTCCATTGCGTCTACAACTTCTTGGAATTGAGGTTGTAAGTTTATGAACCACCTATCCGGATTAGCTTTATGACCCCATCTCATTGTAGTTCCATAGTCTGCAGAAACAAAAGTAGGTTTGTTTCCATATTGGTTAGGTTCTGAATGAACTTTAAACAATGTTTCATTTCTATATGTTTTGGTGAAATTTAACCTTTTATTTTCACCGAGTTCAGCCAAAGATTGAACGTTATATGGTCGTAAGTAAAAAGGATTGTTGTATTTGCGTACACTTTCTTTCAGTTCTTCCATTCTATGCTGAATATTTTCATCTGATGTTGGAGTCTTTTGTATGTCGGCGAACATTTTTCGATATTCTTCTACTATGTCAGCCGAATTTTTCTTAGACTCTTGGAAAGATTCCATATTCTCCGCATACACTTGTTGAGGGTCAAGATTTTTCGGCTGTTCCAAATCTTCATCTAGTTCTGTGAAGTTAGTTTCCAAAGGATGGACTTGTTTGTTTCCTTCAGGCTCTTCTAGCTGTTGTTGCTGAACTATTTCTTCCATGTCTGGTTGTATCTGAACTTCTTCCTGTGGAGTTTCTTGTACCTCATCTGCTGGCATTTCATATATTCCGAGACCGTTTTTAACAAGTTCCCTATTTAAGTCATCCGCATTCATAACCCTTTCTTCTTTCGTTCCGTCTCTATTTTTTACGCGTTTCATGAAGATAGTTGAATTATCATTTATCTCTGACACCAAATATCTCGGAGTAAATTCAGTCATGTCATTTGGATGATATGCTATTAAATCATATCCCTTAGCGAGCTTGTATTTTCCAGGTTTGAAATTATATCCCATTTGGTGCTGAACCATAAAGCTAAATAGGTTCGGGTCAGTATTTCCTTCCTTGAACTTTCTAATAGCTTCTTTATATCTGTCACTAAAGTCAAGAGTATCTGGGTAACCATAATTTTCCTTAAGCATTTTTAAGAATTCTTGGTTTCCTTGTTCTCTACTTCTTTTATGTCCTTGCTCTGTTTGTGGTTGTTGCTGTGCAGTGTTTTGAACTGTTGGTTGTGGTGCAGTGTTTTGAACTGTTGGTTGTGGTGCAGTGTTTTGAACTGTTGGTTGTGGTGCAGTGTTTTGAACTGTTGGTTGTGGTGCAGTGTTTTGAACTGTTGGTTGTTGTGTTGGTTTTGGTGCATGCCTGTGTCTGTGTCCATGTGACGATGTAAATGTTTTAGGTAGTCCTGGTGCAGGTGCTTCTCTTGGAGGGTTTGGTGGTATATAAGTTCCACTAGCTAGTATATAAGTTCCACTAGCTAGTATATAAGTTCCACTAGCTAGTATATAAGTTCCACCAGCTGGTATATAAGTTCCACCAGCTGGCACATATGTTCCATCTGCAGCATAATGTCCTACCTGACTTTTCGTTTTTAAGAAAGCATTTACTAGGTCTGTTTTGGTCTGTTGTAACTCTTTTTCTTGACTTTCCACAACAGTTGCTCTAACGGCGTCATAGGCACTTTGAACTGCCTGTCTCGTTGCTGCATCTGTTATTTTCGTCATATTTTGTGCTACTTCTCTTAACTCTTTGTCGAAACCTTCAGACTTCAGTTTCTTTCCAGATGAGAAGTCGTTCACTAGTTTCACCTTACTATGAAGAGCTTCGAAGGCGTTCTTAAAGTCAGCATTCATTAAAGCTTCATTTGAACTGTCTTCATCCGCTTGTATTTTTGTCCTTATTGACCCTATAAGTTGGGCTGCTTTAGCGTTGGCTTGGGCATCTAACCAGTCATTATTAGCTTTTATATATTCTGCGCTTTTCATTGCCTTTTGCATGGCTGCGTCGTTATTTTTACTTTCTTGTGCTAAGTTTTCATACTGTACGGTTTGGTTTTGCAACTGTAAAAGTTTTTCTGCCTTTACATTTGCTTCAACTTCTTTTTTATACTCATCGCTATCCATATATGTCTTCAGGGCTTTTTGTTTTATCTCTTCATCTTTCAGTACTTTATATTGAGTAGTATGGTTTTTCAAATTTATAACATCTTGTTCCATTTTTGCTACTTCTGCTGCTTTTTCTGACACTTTTTTCGCATATTCCTCTGTACTTAGTTCTTTCAGTTGTTCTTCTTTCTTCTTTTTCTCTACGTTTAACTCATTGAGTTTCTTTGTGTGTCTGTCATATTCTAGTTTCTTTTCGTTTTCACTTATTTGTTTCTGTATGTCTATGTTTGACTTTTTGACATCTGTTATTTGATTTTTGAGTGAACTCAAATTCATTTGACTTTGAGGGTTATAAGCTGTTCCGTCTGCAGCTCCACCATAGCCTGCCATTTTCGCTAAAAGTGCCGCTCTTAAACCTCCACTCTGTGCACCAATAACTCGGTTTAAAAGCATAGGGTTGCTTGACATTTGTTGCAACATAGTGGGGTCATTCATAATTTGTTGTTGCAACTGTTGTTGTGGTGTTAGTTTTACTATTGGATGTTTCAATGCTCTCTTCCTCTTACGTATATTCTTACGTAGCTTACGTGGCATTTTAAGTGAAGTTAAAAAGCGGTTTTTGACAGATGTTTATATGACACTTTTTGTTCAGCACAAAAAACTACTCGGTCAAAGTGTTGTCAGTTTTGTAAAATAACCGTCCTATCTTGTTTTAAAATGGAGAAAAGGCTTCTCAAAGTATACTTCCTTGGAACGCCCGTAACTTTTCCTGTAGCGACGATAGACCCTTACTTGTCCGGACAAAGTTATACTAAACATCTTCAGGGCTAGAGGGCACGAAGTGCCTGGAGGCCCCACTACCTTTTTTTTTTTTTTTTTTTTATTTAAGTACACACTTCATGATATACATTTATTGTTGATAAATTTGAATAAACATTCGTTATAACAGATCATTAGCCTTAATTTTTTTGCCATAATGGTACTCTTCTGGTTACTTTTTATGCCAATGTGATGCAAATTCTCGCAATTTTTTTAGTTTTATTTTATCAAAATTTTAATTACATTCAAAAGTATTAAAAAGTGTTAATCCAAAGCTCCATTTGAATGACCCCAAGTTATATGCAGAAAGCTTGCTATTTTCAGAAATTCGGTACAAAATTTATACATAAATGGAAGTATCATGACTACATTATCATCTAAACTTCAAGTTGTAAGTAATTTTCGATGGCATTTTCTTTCATCTGAAAATAATATGATATTAAAATAAAATAAAAAACAAACACTTTATAAACAAAAATATATAAAAATCAATATAATTAAATTGCCCCAGAGAACATATTCAAAGAGAACTGTTCCTCAGAAAGCGCTCTATTTGCATAATAAATGAAATAAGTTATTTGGTTTCCTTTTCCCTTCAAGAATACTTCTCCTCTTTCCTCGATTGTGAAATCATTACTTTTTATTAGTTCTTTTATTGACTGCGAAATTTGTACTCTTCCTGGGATGTCAGAAGATTGCAATCTTGCTGCGACATTTATTGGATCTCCAATAATATCGAATGTTGGTTTGTCAGCACCCAGAACTCCTCCAATCAAAGGGCCTCCGCTATTTATTCCGATTCTGAGCTCCAAAGACGAATTAAGTTTCGTGTTTATGTCTTCCATCGATTTCAAACACTTCAGGCAGCATTTTACTGCACTTTCCGCGTGTTCTTCCTTAGAGTTATCTTGGTGGAATATTCCGGAAGCAGCCATGTAGACATCTCCAATTAGTTTGATCTTGTTAACAAGAGGGAACTGCACAACAATCTTATCGAAATTGTTAAAGACCAGAGACAAGTTCTGCATGATTTCGCTCGGACTCAGATGACTGGAATACTGAGAAAACTTCACGATGTCGATGAAGAAAACGGAAGAGTGGTTTATGTTGAATGAGATGTCTTTCTCGCCTCTGTTCAATCTGAGTACTATGTCTTTAGGAAGTATCTGGTAGAGCAGTTTCTCTGACTTTGCTTTCGCTGTCTCTGCTGCCTTCCTCTTCTTTGTTTCGTCCAAGATATTCGTCATGATGAAAACAAAGGAAACTTCCTTCTCCTCCTTCACTAAGAAGCGGGAGACATTGAACGGAATGCTGCGGCTGGAGTCATTGATGAAGTGGTTTTGGTCCTGGGCTGAGTTCTGGCTCTCGGAAAGCGAAGAAAACAGTGAGTTGATTTTGTTTTTGTCTCCGGAAACAGCGAAATTCGAAATGTTCTGGCCAAGCATTTGGTCTGGAGTCATTCCCAAGTTTGTGTTCACTGCTGGATTGACTATTTCTATCACTCCCATTGTGTTTGTGACAATCACGCACTCACTTGCACTCATTACGATTCCTTTCGAAATCGACCAATTCTCGTTTTCCCTCGTTTTCGTCGTGTTTCTCCTCAGGAAATTGATCAAATCAGAAGAAGACACAAGTGTCTGTGGCGGCAGTCTCTGCATCAGTCTGAGCAATGATCTGTACGCGACGTTAAATGAGTTCACGTATGTCAAATCGAAAGCGAAATTGGCGAAAACGCAAATCGCTCCAAGCAAAAGGTAAATTACAGATTGAAACAGGATTTGGTCGAATTTGTTCTCCAGCAGATAACTCAATCTGTCGCACACATTCAGCACATCTGGATACAAGTGGTGCTCCAGTATGTGGATCAGATTTTCTCCGAACTCTGTCGTCAAGTTCCCGCTCCTCAGCTTCTCCTGGTTGATCAAGTCGTCGATCATGTCTGTGAAGTAGTTGAGCAGGCTGAACGTGTTCAGGCAGCTGTACATCTCGTGGTACGTCGCTGGCTCAGACACGTTGCACTTGTTTTCCAGCTGGAGGATGTCGAGACTAGTGTCGTATCCAATTGATTTCGAAGTTGTCTCGTCTCCGTTCATGAGAATGTTGTTTATCTGCGTCAGCCTCTTTGAGTTCATCTGTATATCCAATATCAGCTCATCCGTAATGACGCAGTTGTGCTCCAGATCGTTTTTTCCGAGCAGAATGAGCTGTATCGCGTTGTTTCCGATCTCGTTCAGGTAGATCAGCCTGGCAATGCTGTAGTAGTACCACTTTATCATGTCGTTCATGCTGTCGTTGAGTTTGATGTTGTTGAAACTCAGGAGGATGATGCAGACGATGATCAGCAGAACAAAGATTATGTTGATCGTGTTCAAGATCTGTCGAGTGATAGGATTCCTCTGTCTGAGAACTGCTTTGACTTCTGAATTCGTTGTTCCGTGTATCATCATTGGTTCCTTCGCTTCTTCTTTTATTTTCGATGGCAGGTTGAGAAGTATCTTGATGATGTTGTTTATCATCGCTTTGTAGGTGTAGATGATGACGAGAAAGGGAGGGATGTTGAGGACAAAAACAAGGATAGAGCAGATGATCATCCACAGTTTGAACTCTTTCTGGTAATTCAATGACCTGTTCAAGTTATATGAAAGCAAGTCCTTGAAGACATCTTTTGTGGCATTCACAACGTAGTTGAGAGTGCTCGCAATGCCGCAGTAGTGGTCGTTCATGAAGAGATTGTCGATTTCGGTTGTTTTGAAATCGCCGGCCAAAAAATTTTGTTTGAAAAACACAAAAATTAGCTGAGAAGTCAAACTGCCGCTGATGTTGGCGTTTGGATCTGAGTCCTCGCAGCCAATAACGCGTGTCTGTTCCTTAATAAGGCCGCCGGAAATTTGGTACGGATTCCACTTCTGTGATCTTGTGGAATAATCGGCCAAAATCTCTTTAAGATTGGTCCTGCCTTTATCGAGACAATAGTAAATGAGTTCGGCGTATGATAAACTGCTGTTCACCAACAAATTATTGTTATCATTTGAAGTGGGACCAAGCAAGGACATACTGTGCTCGTACCTGTTATTCATTGCACTCCAGTGGCTCAGAATGTAGAAGTTGGAGTAGTAAGCATAGAAAACTGAGTTGGATACGAAAGATAACTGTTGGTAGGACTCCCTTCGCCACCAGAACTTCTCTTTTGCGCTGTAGTAAATTATCAGAATGAAGCAGATGTTCATAACAAGGCAAACCAAAGAGAAAACTAAGTCGTAATAAGAATGACTTGGTTTGGAATCGTTGATTGCTCTGTACAAAGCAGGTCTTGACCTTGCATGACTCAATATCTTTCTCGCTACATGCTCATCACCTTCTTCATCCTTAATATAATCTTTATCATCAGTATTATACGATCTTCCTGATGATTTGGCATTGATAATCGCATCCATCATCTCTGTATCCTTGTCCGATACGTTATCAAACGACAGATTTGACCGACCAAACTCGTCAACGATTCCATCTGTTAAATACTTTGGAAATTTATTGACCAGCGACCTAAATGATACATCTACATTATAATTTTGGCCCTCCAGGATTGATTCTGTCCTCTGGTACTGGTCAATTGCCTCGTCAAAGTCGCATTTTGCCTCTACCAAGAAATTTATGTATTCGTTGTTAATTCCGACATTGTTTGGGTTATTTTCGAGGACATATTTGAAGTAATTGTTTGTATCGAACAAGTGTTGAGAAATCTCTGTCATATAAGCAGATGTACAGCTTGTTTTGTCCCAGAAAGAGTTTATTGCTAGCTTGCATTCTTCATTTCTCAGTTTAACTCTGTTCAGAGCGTCCAATGAATCTTTATTAGACGTTGTAAGCCTTCTTGTCCTTATTTTCGATATTTGGTATATGAGAAACCTGTTTACGAATGTCAGCTTCCTCTTGTTCTGAAGTATTTTGTACAATTGGTTCAATCTCATCTGATATGAAGGGAAATAAGTGACAACTTGAAGCATTGTTGCCAAAGATGACTCCATCATATCGTTGTTTATTATGTAATCAGTCAGAGATCCATCGACAAAGTAGTCGCAGAGGCAGCCCATTCCGACAACAACGTACATCTGGGTGTACAATGGGTGTTTGAGGATGGGAAGAGAGTTAAAGTACTCTGTAATGTTGCGTTCGTAATCATCTGTATAAGAGAGTTGTTTTTTGATTCGATTTTCTTGTCTGGAAAAATACAAGCGACTTAATGGATAAGAAATTAAGAACATGAAGAGAAAAGCAATTATGATGGAGTTGTATGATAAATTCTTCGCAAAACAAAGAACTAATAATGATAAATCTAAAGTATAAGTTACAATCGCAATTGCCATGCACGTAGGATTCCTAAATAGGGTGTAGAATGGGAAAAAAGCAATGCGGACACTGCAGTAGAAGGCAACGAGGAAATGAATGAAAATTAATGGAATAAAATACCAATCTGGAAAATATCGTAATATCGGCGAGAGAATTAGCTCGCATGTAGAAAATCCAAACCATGTGAAAACAGCAAAGTAATCGTAAAGCTGAAATGTTAAATTTGTCAAAACAACAGATCGAGATTTCATAAAAATGCCATTATAGAAATGATAAGAGCATGTTAGGAAGCACACCAAGCCAATGATTATTTCTGATATGTAATCAGAGTTGTATTCAGTCTGTAAAGCGTAAACTCCATGGGTTAAGACGTAGCACGACGGAATTAGAAATATCAGCTCGAGTACATCAAGCACAAACACTGATATATGTGTTAGTATTCTTGGAATTATATAAAACTTGTAATGAAAAAAGATCATGAAGACAAGCCATAAACTTGTTATAATTGATACGGCAAGGCATGCATAAGCGGCATCCATATGACTAGTTGTATTGTCAAGAGGATCTTGAAATGCTAATATGCTTAATATTACTTTGTAAACTTTTGTCCAAGAGCCTGTTGTCCTTTCTGCAGCAGGTGAATAAACCCATAGACTGACAAACACCATTTGTAATGAAATAAAAATGGTGATTACACTCGATACCCAACTGGGATAATTCGCAACTTGCATCATCTGATCGTAGATAGGAAATATCAGGTCAATAAGATGAAAGCCTTTCTGTTTAGTAATAAGATTTGGCTGTGATGAAACCTCAGGATTAAGACTTTCCTTGCCATCCGTTGAAGCTTCCGCCATAATTTTTTTTGAAAAAACAATCTAAAAAATTTTGATGAAATAAGAGCGGTTACTATTGATATATGAAATAAATATGAGAAGGTTTATTTATTGTAATCATTGAAATGATTTGAATGTGTTCACAAAAGTTATAAAAGAACAATAGTAAAGAAATTGCACTGAGATATGTGATTTTGAATTATGCTTATTGGTAACGTAAATCAAGTGCTTCAATTTTTTGTGGTTCAAACCAATCAAAACAATAATATTTGCTGTATATTCTGATCCATATAAAACATTATTAAATTCAAATTCAATACAGTCCAAAAATATTTATTCAACATTTTAAATATAATGTTGTATCAATACATATTAACCTATAAATATTGAATTCAATGAAAAAATTGTCAGTTTAAAACATATAGAAAAATTATAACAAATGAATATACTATCTTTGTGGTAATTGACGGAAAATTGAATGGCAGTACGTTATTTTTGATTTTTACATGTGATTATTTTTCATTCAAAATGATTTAGAATAAAATCTCATAGAGTCTTAAATTCAGACGTCTGTAATAATTTTTTTAAATAAAATGGACTTTCCATTAAAAAAAAAAAAAAGGTAGTGGGGCCTCCAGGCACTTCGTGCCCTCTAGCCCTGAAGATGTTTAGTATAACTTTGTCCGGACAAATAAGGGTCTATCGTCGCTACAGGAAAAGTTACGGGCGTTCCAAGGAAGTATACTTTGAGAAGTCTTTTCTCCATTTTAAAACAAGATAGGACGGTTATTTTACAAAACTGACAACACTTTGACCAAGTAGTTTTTTGTGCTGAACAAAAAGTGTCATATAAACATCTGTCAAAAACCGTTTTTTACTTCACTTAAAATGCCACGTAAGCTACGTAAGAATATACGTAAGAGGAAGAGAGCATTGAAACATCCAATAGTAAAACTAACACCACAACAACAGTTGCAACAACAAATTATGAATGACCCCACTATGTTGCAACAAATGTCAAGCAACCCTATGCTTTTAAACCGAGTTATTGGTGCACAGAGTGGAGGTTTAAGAGCGGCACTTTTAGCGAAAATGGCAGGCTATGGTGGAGCTGCAGACGGAACAGCTTATAACCCTCAAAGTCAAATGAATTTGAGTTCACTCAAAAATCAAATAACAGATGTCAAAAAGTCAAACATAGACATACAGAAACAAATAAGTGAAAACGAAAAGAAACTAGAATATGACAGACACACAAAGAAACTCAATGAGTTAAACGTAGAGAAAAAGAAGAAAGAAGAACAACTGAAAGAACTAAGTACAGAGGAATATGCGAAAAAAGTGTCAGAAAAAGCAGCAGAAGTAGCAAAAATGGAACAAGATGTTATAAATTTGAAAAACCATACTACTCAATATAAAGTACTGAAAGATGAAGAGATAAAACAAAAAGCCCTGAAGACATATATGGATAGCGATGAGTATAAAAAAGAAGTTGAAGCAAATGTAAAGGCAGAAAAACTTTTACAGTTGCAAAACCAAACCGTACAGTATGAAAACTTAGCACAAGAAAGTAAAAATAACGACGCAGCCATGCAAAAGGCAATGAAAAGCGCAGAATATATAAAAGCTAATAATGACTGGTTAGATGCCCAAGCCAACGCCAAAGCAGCCCAACTTATAGGGTCAATAAGGACAAAAATACAAGCGGATGAAGACAGTTCAAATGAAGCTTTAATGAATGCTGACTTTAAGAACGCCTTCGAAGCTCTTCATAGTAAGGTGAAACTAGTGAACGACTTCTCATCTGGAAAGAAACTGAAGTCTGAAGGTTTCGACAAAGAGTTAAGAGAAGTAGCACAAAATATGACGAAAATAACAGATGCAGCAACGAGACAGGCAGTTCAAAGTGCCTATGACGCCGTTAGAGCAACTGTTGTGGAAAGTCAAGAAAAAGAGTTACAACAGACCAAAACAGACCTAGTAAATGCTTTCTTAAGAACGAAAAGTCAGGTAGGACATTATGCTGCAGATGGAACATATGTGCCAGCTGGTGGAACTTATATACCACCAAACCCTCCAAGAGAAGCACCTGCACCAGGACTACCTAAAACATTTACATCGTCACATGGACACAGACACAGGCATGCACCAAAACCAACAGTTCAAAACACTGCACCACAACCAACAGTTCAAAATCCAGCACCACAACCAACAGTTCAAAATCCAGCACCACAACCAACAGTTCAAAACCCTGCACAACAACAACCACAAACAGAGCAAGGACATAAAAGAAGTAGAGAACAAGGAAACCAAGAATTCTTAAAAATGCTTAAGGAAAATTATGGTTACCCAGATACTCTTGACTTTAGTGACAGATATAAAGAAGCTATTAGAAAGTTCAAGGAAGGAAATACTGACCCGAACCTATTTAGCTTTATGGTTCAGCACCAAATGGGATATAATTTCAAACCTGGAAAATACAAGCTCGCTAAGGGATATGATTTAATAGCATATCATCCAAATGACATGACTGAATTTACTCCAAGATATTTGGTGTCAGAGATAAATGATAATTCAACTATCTTCATGAAACGCGTAAAAAATAGAGACGGAACGAAAGAAGAAAGGGTTATGAATGCGGATGACTTAAATAGGGAACTTGTTAAAAACGGTCTCGGAATATATGAAATGCCAGCAGATGAGGTACAAGAAACTCCACAGGAAGAAGTTCAGATACAACCAGACATGGAAGAAATAGTTCAGCAACAACAGCTAGAAGAGCCTGAAGGAAACAAACAAGTCCATCCTTTGGAAACTAACTTCACAGAACTAGATGAAGATTTGGAACAGCCGAAAAATCTTGACCTCAACAAGTGTATGCGGGGAATATGGAATCTTTCCAAGAGTCTAAGAAAAATTCGGCTGACATAGTAGAAGAATATCGAAAAATGTCGCCGACATACAAAAGACTCCAACATAGAATGAAAATATTCAGCATAGAATGGAAGTACTGAAAGAAAGTGTACGCAAATACAACAATCCTTTTTACTTACGACCATATAACGTTCAATCTTTGGCTGAACTCGGTGAAAATAAAAGTTAAATTTCACCAAAACATATAGAAATGAAACATTGTTTAAAGTTCATTCAGAACCTAGCCAATATGGAAACAAACCTACTTTTGTTTCTGCAGACGATGGAACTACAATGAGATGGGGTCATAAAGCTAATCCGGATAGGTGTTCATAAACTTACAACCACAATTCCAAGAAGTTGTAGACGCAATGGAAGTGAATGGTGAACCAGATTAGCTGGTATTTTCAGCGCGGCTTTAATGCCATTGAAAGATATGAAAGATGCAGATATTTTGAACCAGTATGAAATGAACATGGCTGATGGAAATATAACACCTGACGTTCTAGAACATTTATCTCAAAGAACTACACAGAACCATAAAGATGGTATATTTGGTGAAGAGTTTAGAAAGAAAGTTTAGGGAGAGAGAAGGAAGAGAACCTATTGTACATGACCTTGCAAACGAAAGTTTGCAAAATGTCATAAAAACTTACTTTGCAGACAATGAACCGAGAAGGATGAATATTTAAGAAAACTCAAATGGACAGTACAAATGAAATGTTAGTATTGAAAACATGTTCCTTGACAAAATAAAACCAACTACAGAAATAAATGACGCAAGACTGAAACATTGGGTAAAAGCTTTCCCATTCACAAAAAGATATTTATTGTTACATGGAAAGAAAACAGAATGGCTACAAAAACATATATTTGGAAACGAGCTTATTCCATATGGACAAGCTCTGTTTGAAGAAGCTTGAACCGGAAACTCAGGAAAGAGTCATGCAAACAATACGCGAAGACTCAAATACAAACTATGACAAAATCTTTCTAGGATATAGGTTACCTGAGATGGGCGACCAGAGCCAAAGGCAAAAAGGACACGTGAAATTTACAACATACTAGGTGAACATGAGGCAAAGATGCAACAACTTGAAGCAGAGGGCAAGTTACCAAAAGCGACACCAAAGAAGAAGAGTAGAACAAAGTGAAAGTAGTGAAGAAGTAACTTCATCTAGTGAAAGTAGTGGCAATGAGGAAAAAGAAGAGTTGAAAACTCAGTCAGGAAGAAAGTAAAGCTTGGTCGAGTGGTTCTATTATGATATATAAATCCAACTATTCTATATTTTTACCCATATGAAATGTACGCCGCTCAGAATATAACGCCAACAGTTTTGGATGCCATGAACGGAAATGTTTCCGAATGGTATAACGAATGCGACAATGCCATTAGAAGGTCAGAAATAGTTCCTGGAACTTACGAATATACAACTGCTGTTTCTTATGGAAACGTAGGTGAGTTTGGAGAAGGTTCTTCAACAACAGTAGATATTGCTTGCGACAGGTTTCATATTATTTCTATTGACAACTCATTCTTATACGTGGAACAAGACATTGAAATAAAACCTTCTGCCAAGTTGTCTGACAAGAAAGGTTGCAATGGAATTTTCTATGTCGGATACCAATATGCTCCAGAAGTTTTCATGGGATATAAGATATATTCTAACTCTGACTTAGTTCAAACAGTAACATGGGCAAACTATGAATGGTTCGCTTTGAGAAACTCAGTACAACCACAAGCTAGAGAAAAACAGACCAGTATGCAAATATTGAGAAAATAAGAAGACTTGACCCTAACGTTCCAGGAGTTTATGTTAACCTTTCTGGTTCAGATGGAACTGCTGCCACTAAAGTAAAACTGAAACTTAGAGTTCCTTTGTCATCTTTCCTCATCTTCAGGTTTTTAAGATACTTACCAAACTGGGCAGGAAAAATTTCTATCGAACTTACTCCAAGCAAAAATAACTTAGTCATTGCACCAACACAAGACCCATTCAGCATTACTGTAGCTGGAACTGGTGGAGCCAAGTTCTGTGACTTTTGCAAAGACAAAGTTGACTTAGACTTTGGTTTCTCAAACTTCAACAATGAAGTAAACTATTATTTCAATGCTGCTGGAACTGCTTGGGACCCAGTTAAGTTTACATGCGAAAAATTTGAATGCAAGAGAATAGAAAGCAGACTTGCAGTCTATATGTTGGACCCAGATATTTCAAATGCTTTAGCTGCCAAATATATTGCAGTTCCACTTATGTTCCCTATACACCAAATATCTGTCAAAGACTTTGCAGGTGAAGTTGGAAACCAAAATCCAGGAGCCGCAGGTGCAAGAACAGATATTGCTTTAACAACTGCAATGAAACATGCAGATACTATGTTTGTACTGTTCAGACGAACTATAAATGACTATTCTTGTTTCTACAACCCCGGTATTAAATATCATATAAACATAGATGGCAAATATTATCCAAGAGAAGAATATTCTACAGTTGAGGATATGAGGTCATACAACTTGACATTAGATGCTATGAACTTTAACAACAACTTCACAACAACCATAAACCCTGAAATGCAAAGTTCTATTATGCCATATGTGAAAGTATGGACTCATACAGGAGGTCAAAAAACTCAATATACAAATGGAGACCGTTCAAACTTTTGGCTTGGCATTCCATTTGCTGACTCAGAAGACTTTATGGGTGGTATTTCAACTGTTGGTACTGTACAAATACAATATACTGGTGACAGAGACGGTCCAGATGAATTGAAAGCAAAGAAGTTTACAAAACCAATAGCACTTTTCACGGAAGATGCTCTTTTGAAGATTCGTTCGATGAAACCTGCTGGGGCTCCTCAGATTGGCATAACGACAGCTTCCATCGAGCAGATTTTGGCAGCAGGTCAGTAAGTTGTTCTTGAACTGACTTCTCTCCGTCAAATATTGACAGTACGCCAGTTTTGACATAATATTGTAAGATAAACTTACCTTTAGAAATATCTGTAAGTTTTGTTGTTATATTTTTGTCAACGTCAAGAACTTTCACCATCTCGGTTATACCAACTTTCTTTGCTTTATGAAAATATTTAGGTTCAGCAAAGACTGCTATTCTATAACATTTACCATTGTTTGTATAAAGAACTATTCTGTCAATGTATTTGTATTGTTTGTGTGTGTAAACTTTGTTCTGCTTCAATTCGAAGAGATACTCGAATACGTCCATCTTTTTATTCTAAGTAAAATGTCATTTCCGAAAAATAGAAGCGTAAGTGTTTCAAAAGGTTTAATGGCGGTGGCAGATGTGAAGTTAAATTCACCAACTCAAACAAACAGTCAAAGTGTTATTGTCAATGTCAAAGACAGAGATGTTGAAGTGGGGAAACCATACGAAGACGAAGATGGTATAGCAATTGTTCCTGTAAAAGAAAACCAACATATCCTGAAGTTAGCAGAGACTTAAGTTCTGTTGCAGATATTCGAAATGACTACCAACAACTTAAAGACAAACTTCAAACTCAGGAGAAGATTTGTCAAGCTTTAGGTATAATGTTAAACTTGGTCGAACACAACCCTGTAAAAGTGAACTCATATGTCATTGCACCTCATGAAGTTTTGAAAGAACTATTGAAACTTTTGACAGAGGCAGACGATATAAACATCAAAGAAATAGAACCCGACATTAGTTTGCTGTGGTTGTTTCATATAATGTCATTGACAAGATATACGTTATGAAGGAGGTGAAACGTTGAACTTAAAGTATAGTTTCCCAGACGTCATAAAATATTTGACGACCACAACATTTCATTAAAATTTATTTGCTAAGTAAAAATGTCAAAACTTCTTGAAAGATGTTTGAAGAAAAATAATATAGACTTTATTTCATGTAAAGGACTTTACACACTTTTGAACGATATGAAAGACCCTGTTTTGTTTGTTCGTGTAGACAAAGGAAAGTTCTATGTCTTTACAAAATATTTGAACTTCTTAGACAGAGAACTTCAAGAAACGCCATGTGAAAGTTTAGATGAAGTTCTTCTCCACTTTCAGAAAAACTTTTAAATATATATAAATGCAGAAGACATAAGTTTATACTATTACGACTAAAAACCCTGAGTCATATAATTCTATAACAACAAACTTTACAAAGTCCTCAAGGACGGTATTGTAAACTAACTTTAAACACAATGACGACTAAAGCCTGTTTGCTCTTTTGACACAGAAGACTTTATTGTTGTGAATGGTAAAAATACTCCTTTGAAGATACTTACTCAGATATACCACCAACAGGTTTTGTTGACTTATTTAATACTTAAGGACGGGTGTAACATGTGCTGCAACTAGAGCAGGTTTCATTATGTTTGGATGTCCGACTGAGTTTACTATAAACAATATGAGCTATAATACAAAACTTATTTCTGGTTTTTACTACCAACAGTTTCCTATAAACAGGAAAAGGTGTCATACAAAGGAATGTCTATTCCATTGACATTAAGCACACCAATCTTATATATTGTTTCAAACTTAGGTTCAAAGTGTTATTCGAATGTCGACAGAAACTATTATGACCAAAAGATACTTATGCGTATAAACAATACTTTCTCTGCTGGTTTGCCTATTGTTCATTCGAATGCAGAATTTTCAACCTTAGTGAACTCAAACACTTTGGCAAGTATAACGTTGACATTAGTTGACGCAAACTTTGTTCCTGTAAACTTTTATGTCCTATGTATTTGTCAATGACGGCAGAAAGTTTCGAATTGGAAGATGCAACTGGTGAAAGTATTGTATTACAAGAACAACTTCAACAACAAATAGCTCAAGAACACAAATGCAACAAATGGAACAACAAAGTCAAGAATAAAAAAAATATTTTTTTTATTTTATAAAAATGTACAGAATAGATGTTTCAGATTTTTATGACTTCCAAGCATTCAGAAATATGTGTCCATTTAGAGACTATAACAAAGCAGTCGAGAATTTGAAACGTTTAGTCATTTATGTCGACTCTGCCCCAGAATGTTATGTCATGAAAGAATGGGATGTAGTCTTTAACAAACCAAGAGCAACAATAGTGTCTGAACAAGAATGTAGACAGAAACTTAAGAAAATAAAAGTTGTACAAGTTGGAATGAAGATGTTAGATGCTTGGGATATCTTATTGTCAAAGTTAGAAGATTTTTCAGTTCGAGGTATAAAGTTCTATACACCTTCTCCAAACTTCTATTCTATCTTCACTGGATATAAATACGAACAAGTAGAATGGAAAGAAAATATTATAGAAGCTTGGTTAGACCATGTCAAAGAAATTATATGCAATGGCAACGAAAAGGTTTATGAGTATATCTTATGTTGGTTTGCAAACATCTTACAACATCCAAGTGCTAAAAATGAAACTGCTCTCATTATAATTGGAAAACAAGGAACAGGTAAGAATACTTTCTTTACAGATATTTTGTGCAAACTGTTAGAAGGTTATTCGAATCCGAATATGACAAACTTAGAAAACATCTGTGGCAAGTTTAACTCCTCAATAGAGAATATGAAACTTATAGTTTGCAATGAACTTCAAAGTATAGATACAACAAAAGTTTTGAACTCAATGCTTTGAAGAGTCTTATAACAGACAAAGTTGGAGTTGTTGAAAGAAAGTATAAAGACCAAAAAGTTTGTGAAAATGTTGCAAACTTCATTATGGTTTCAAACAATGCTGTTCCGATGAAGTTAGAAAGTTCTGACAGAAGATATGTAGTGTCAGAACGTCAGATTCTCATATGCAAGATACAGAATATTTTGACGACTTAGCAGAAAACTTTGACATCTGACTTTTACAACCACTTGTTCTCATATTTTATGACATTAGATATTTCAAAGTTCAATCCAAGACAAATTCCGCATACAGAAGAGAGACAAACATTGTTAGAAGCAAACAAGAGTGTATATGAACTGTTCATAGATGAAACTGACTTTGTGTCATTAGATGAAAGGTCATTGTACGATTCGTATAAACAATATTGTCAAGAATATGGTTATATGACAGCGTCTAAACGAACATTCTTGGCAAATGTCAAAAGTCTTTTAGACGTACAGAATGGTGTATATACAAAGAAAAATTTTTATGAGTAAATTTTAAAAAAAATATTTTTTTTTATCCGATAGAAAAGATGACGAAATTCATCTCAGTAAACAAGTACATGTCAGGACTTAAAGAAGAACTAGACCCATTCACATATTTGAATGTTTACTTCTACCATTTTGAAAAGTCTTCATTCAGCAAAGTTTGGAACATCGAACCAGTTAAGTTTGCTATTGTGACTAAAAATGGTGCGAAATTTGAAGACTTAGACATAGAAGGTTTGTTAGCAGTCAAAGAAAGTTTTGACAGAAGGTTTTCAAACCTTAAAGAAGGCAAAGCATACAAACTTGTTATACCTTATGAACCAAAGAAAGCAGACGACTATGAATATTATGAGTCTAAGATAGTTGAAGTTCAAGGTAAATTGGGTAAAAAGATTTTAGAGTCTAAGCCAGTGTTTGCTCCTAAAGAGGAAGAGAACATTGACATTGACCCAGAAATGTTCAAAAATAAAATTTTATTTTTACATGTCAAATTTCTTTTTCTCTGGAACTGGTTCAGGTTCTTTCTTCTCTTCTACTACTTTCTTTTCTTTCTTTTCTCTCTTCTTCTTTCTGGTGGAGTTATGTCAAATTTCTCCGAACCATATTTATGTAAAAGTTCTTTGTCCTTTAATAGCTCATCTATTCTGTTTTTCTATTTCATCTTCAAGAACAGCGCATGTGTCTTCTTTGCATTCTAAGAAGTTTTGTTGGACTTCATCTCTCCAATCGGCGTCATCTCTGTCAACAAGTCTGTCATTGACAAATTTTAAGACTGCTCTGCTTAATGTTTTATGGTTCTTGTCATATTCCCAGAAACAGAACTTTAGAACAAAATTCACCTTTCTTGTTTACACTATGTAAGATTTTATGGTCGACAGATGTTTTTGCTGTCGAAAAGTTTGTCTCGAATATAGATAGCGAAATCGCTAGACATTTTCTAAAAGATAAAAATTTTAATTTTTTCTAAAAATATGTTAGAAAAAAAGTTTGCTGACATTGACAAGAAATTTGAGAATGTTTTAAACAAGAACAAGAGGAAGTTAGAAAATGCTCAGATAAAACCTATACATGACAAGTTCTTATTTGCTCAGAATGGTATAACAGGTCTAATTGCACCACCTGGGTCTGGTAAGACTTTCACTTATCTTAAAATGGCTGCACAACAACAAGAACTAGATGAGAAGAACCCATTCTATGAGTTAGTTGTTATTTGTAGTACTTCTGGTCAATTTGACCAAACCGTCAATTCGTTCAAAGATATTATAAAGAAGTCTAAGTTAGTATGTATAAAAGACTCTGAGTTGTTAGATTGGATAAAGAAGTACCAAAGAAGGGTTTTGAAGTATAATGCTATAAATGAGTATATAAATTCTAAGTTTAAAGACCCAAATGAGGAAATGCAGAGAATATTAGAGAAGAAACACTTCAGAAACAAACAGAAAGAGATAGAATACATTTCGAAGAAATTGCAATCTTACGATTGGAAGACTTACCCTCATAGATGTCTTCTTATTTTAGATGACTTTGCTTCTCATCCTTTGTTAAAGAATAGAGAACAAGATATGTGTCGAATTCTTAAGAAACTTAGGCACTTTAACATTTCAGTTGTCATTTGTGTACAGACAGCAAAGAGTTTAAGTAAGGATGTTAAAAGAATACTGACTGACATTGTACTTTTCCCCGGATTGTCCGAAGACGATTTCATGGAACTTATGAAAGAGTCCATGGCAGGTAAGTTTGACAGACATGAACTATGGGAGAAGTACAAAGTCATACAAGACCCTCATACTTCTTTCAGAATTCATATCTACGCAAACAAAGTTCAAATTGTAAAAAGTCAAGCTTGAAAAATCTAAGTGTTTAGTCTTAGTAAGTCTGTTGTGGTGCTGGGGCTGTCGGTTCTTCTGGCTTTGGAAGGCATTCAGGAAGAGGGACGTGAGACATTCGTTTGTGTCCTGTTGGAAGGAAGAACTTTTCCTGTTGGAAGGAAAAATTTTTCCTGTTGGAAGGAAAAACTTTTCCTGAAGTTCGACCAAAAAGTTCTCAATTTTCGAAAATTTGAATGGTTTACGGACGGACAACTGGAAAATTTTTTCCTGTCGGAAGGAAATTTTTTTCCTGTTGGAAGGAAGAACTTTTTCTGTTGGAAGGAAGAACTTTTTCTGTTGGAAGGAAGGACTTTTCCTGTCGGAAGGAAGGACTCGGAATGCCAGAAGGATTTGACGAGGCAATTTACCTAATTGAGCTACTTGAGCCATCTGAAGTCAAGCTTGAAAAATAAATGGTTCATCTACCCTACTTGTTTGAAGTTGTCAAAATACTCTGTTATTTTTTCCTTCAGTAGCGGTAAGTCTTCTTTGAAGGTAAAAATTGTACAACCTTTCATATCATAGTGTGTTTGAGGTAACGTATCTTGAACTATTTGTTTCACATCTTCATTCGGTGTCATTGAAATCGGTAAGTTTTCGCGATAGAACCAATTTCTGTCAGATTTGTAAATCTTAGCAAGGTCGTAAAAGCTTTTGTTGTTTCTTCTGACTAAATGCAACATAACCATATCTTTATCTTCTTCATTTTCCATCTCTTCAGTATAAATCATATACTTATAGTTCTTTTCCTTACCTTTTGGTACCGAACGTGGTATTCTTTTCTGAATGCTTTTGTCTTTTGCTTCAATGACTTCATCTTTTGCTTCAATGACTTCATCTTTTGCTTGAAGTTTCTTTTCCATCTCTTCACGTTCTTGTCTATGAATTTCGTCAAGAAGTCTGTAAACATGCCATGCATAACGAGGAGAAGCCCACATTGCAACTGCATTTACTAAAAGTCTATGTACATACCAACCTCTTAAATTTATTGGCAAATTTTTACGATTTTCATGTGTTTTATGCATGGCCGGAAAAAGTCGGTCTAGAGAAATTTCACTCAAAAGTTCTTGTGTGCTTTGGTTTTTGAACCAGTCGTCTGCGTGTTTAGTATCTGGAGCAAAACATGCTGTCAAAATACTTTGCATTTGGTACATATCGTCTTTGACCGAACGAATGAGACGGAGTTGTTTGTTAAACTGAACCCACTCATATTCTTCATTTATAGCTTCATGGACTATAACTGTTGTTGTGTTCTCTGTTGTTGACATATCTGTCTTTACATACAAAATAAAAAAATAAATAAAAATAAAACTAACTTTATTTTTTCTATCTTAAGGAAATTCATGATTTTCATATGGAATCTCTTCTCTCAGTTTTCCGAGGGAAGCAAGCATATGCCATTTTACTCAGAATTTTGTGCTGAATTCAGCAAAAATATAATTTAGGGTAGAAGGTTAGATCTAACCTGTCTTCTACCCTCTTTTCTACCCCAGTTATTTTATAAGCGTTTTACATGGTAAACGTTATGAATTCGTGAGACTCTAAACAGTTTTGTAGCTTCTATTTCTTCTTTTAGTACATCGAATGTTTTAACAATGTCGAAAGTTTCTTTATATTTCTTCTTGACGTCAGATAGAAGGAAATCTTCTGCTGTTGGATAGTTTTTGTCAAGACTTCATTGTAAATGACCAAAAATATATTTTATGTTAGCATGTTAGATCTAACATGTTTTCTAACATGTTTTTTCACATGGTCTAAAACATACAAAACTCATGAATTTTCAAGACTTCATCGAACTTAAATGTTTTGTCAAAACTTCTTCGTACATGTTTTGTCAAGACTTCTTCATCGTAATGAGCGTAAATCAGACAAAAATATATTTTAGGGTAGAAGGTTAGATCTAACCTTCTACCCTCTTTTCTACCCCAGTTATTTTATAAGCGTTTTACATGGTAAACGTTATTTTTACATTATGACACGAAGTGAAGAGTAACACTTCGTCAAAAAAATCCCTGAAATCATATCTTACATACAAAAAAATAAATAAAAATGACACTAACTTTATTTTCTATCTTTCACAAAAGACCAAAAATAAACGCTTTACATGTATTTTTCAGCAACTTCGTCAAATAATTTTATAGCTTTATCTATCTCATCTACTTCAAACGTTTCTTTACCTTTTATGGGAGCACCATACATTTTCTCAAACTTTTCAAGTAGTTCTGTTTCTGCAGCTCTCATATCATTAACTAACACAACCTTGACTATATTGACTGTACTGTCATATCTTAGAGTTATATTATATGTCCTTCCTATCTTATATCTCTTTGTATTGAAGTCCTTCGGTTTCTGAACGATGTAAAGTAAGCCTTCACTGCAACGTTCCGTATCGAATGAACCATATGTTATGAAGTTATATCCAACAACTGGGTCTAACCATAACAAAACTATTGGTATAAGACTTTTGTCGATGAGATATGCTGCAGTTCCATAGAATTTTACCGATATCATAAGCTCAGGATTTCTTGTCAAAATTTTCTGAGTAGAAGCAATTTTAACCCAGTGGTTTGTTTTTTTTCCAAATGGAGATAAAATGTCTGACAAAGAATATTTGTTGTATTTCTTTGAGTATCTTACGTTTAAATCACCTATTCTAACCACTTTGGTGTCATTGTCTATCTTTCCAACTGTTTCAAACTCATTGTTTGTCATTTCTTTCTTTAAGTCTGCATAGTCGTTTCTCATACGTTCTATCTCTTTGACAGAATAGTTATATTTCCTTATTGCTGCTTTACATTTAGAACATTGCGGGTTCATTTTTGCGTTATACATTGAAATTTGACCTGCTAGAACAACTAAGGCGTCAATGGTTTTCTTTAAATCTGAAGCAGTTGGTTTTATCTGTTTGTTCCATACCTTACCTCTTCTATCTTTATCTCTTATCTGCCATACACATTCTGCAACTAACGAAACAAAGTTGTCGTAGGTCTTAAACTCCCCAGATTTATATATGTCAGAAACATTCTTATATACCATGTCGCAATCTTTGTCCATAACCTTATGGTTGCAATGAAATCCTAGAAACTCATAGTTTACCTTTCGTATGAACTTCTTTATTTCTACTGAGTCAGTTGCTTTGACTTCAATTTCGTCGAATTCAGGAATAGTGAGTTTTTGTTGCTGAATTTCAGGCAATTTGGGTAAATGGTCAATAATGTCCTGCATTTCATAAAGATACTGTTCATTTGTTTCATCTTTCGCACTACAGTCTAAATTACATGTTAACAGTTCTTGCTTTATCTTCTGGATTTCTGTTTCAAAAGTATATGAAGACGAAGTGAAGCTTTTCATCTCTACCAGCATAGATGTTGGATTCATGACTAACGAGTTTGGTGCTGTTGTTGTTTGAATTGTTGTTGTGCCGATTGTTGAAATCATGTCTTTTATACAAAATAAAAAAAATAAAAAAATAAAACTAACTTTATTTTTTATTTCGGGAAAATTCATGAAAATTCAAGAGGGTAGAAAAGAGGGTAGAAAGGAGGGTAGATCTAACCTTCTACCCTAAACATTATTTTTGGGTCCTTTACACTCATTACGAAGAAGTCTTGACAAAACATTTACGAAGAAGTCTTGACAAAACATTTACGAAGAAGTCATGAAAATTCAAGAGGGTAGAAAAGAGGGTAGAAGACAGGTTAGATCTAACCTTCTACCCTAAAATATATTTTTACTGAATTCAATAAAAATAAATGGTTCATTTACTCACAATATTTTTGTACAAAACGACCCCAAACTTTTAACTTCTTTTCTGCAGCTTCAAATGCTATCTTAGCGAGTTCATATTCTCTAAATTCTCTCTTTAAATCTTCTTGTTCCCATTGGTCTAGTTCGTATGGAGAATCTCTATAACCATAACATTTCTCACGTTCATGTTCTAATTGTTTTCCGCACATTTTTCCAACTTCTTGTTCGAACAAAGGTTTAGCATTCTCTACTGTATCTTCGAGTTCTTCTTCATCTAACTTCTCATGAACTTTCTTGTCTATGGAGTCCATAATTTTTCCAACTGCTATGCAATATTTTGGAGAAGCCCACATTGCTATATAGTTTATAAGTCTTGGGTCTACATACGTTCCTCTAACCTGTTTGATTTCATCAGGAATTCCGGCATGAATTTTGTATAAAAAGCAACCGTCTGAATTCCGGCGGTTGCTATATTCTTCACAAAATGCCTTATAATACTCTTCCCAGGACTTATTTTCCAACAACTTTCTAAAGTCTTTCCTAAACTGCTGACACATATTTGTTGCATTTATATAACCATCCTTGTCTCTACGTAAGACTTCAATACCGTTATAAGTGCCTTTTGTGAATGTTTCGCCATTAGATTTGTTCGTGAACGTTTTTGCTTCGACTGACATATCTGTTCTTACATACAAAATAAAAAAATAAATGAAATAAAACTAACTTTATTTTTTATTTCGGGAAAATTCATGAAAATTCAAGAGGGTGAGAAAAAAGGTGAAAAAACAGGTGAGATCTCACCTCTTCACCTAAACATTATTTTTCAATACTTTTTCAGCACTTTTCCGTAGTTATATATGAAAGACAATTCGAGATAAAAGTCATAGTACAATGGAATAATATGTTGCACACCATTTGTTGTGAACCAAACTTGAAAGTCAGAGAAACTGTTACTAGGTGGTTCGTAGAATTTAGAAGCAAAGTCATAAAAGTCCTTACCAATACATAGAAAACTATTGTTGCTTGAACTGAAACTTGCATGACACATAACATTTTGAGGGTCAAACACGTTTCTATAAACTGTCAAATCTGCTGGTGGAAGTATAAATTGAAATGGACCATCTGGTGGTAATGGTTCGTTCTGGTTTAGTAACCGAAGAAATTGTGCCCAAGAACGTTTGTCTACTTTCCAATATAAAAACTCTGTATCTCTTGGAGGGTTAATTTCAATCTTTTGAAATGAAACGGTGGAGTTCATCTTGTCATATTCTAGTTTCAGATAGTATGTTCCATTTAGTAAAGAGTCGTATTTTTCTTGAAATTCCCAATAATATTTGTTCATTTGAGTTTGAAAGTCATTTAGAGTTTTCTCAAGACTTTCGTCTGAACGAACTGTAAAGATTCTCATTTCGTCAAATTTGTCTATTAGACCATCATGACCTTTATACTGCCCATGAAAATATACTGCGAACATAAATGCGTTAGTTCTATTTGAAAACAAAACTCTTCTAAATCCTATTGCCTTTGCATCTGAAGGACTTTGAAGCCAACGAATTGGATAGTCAAACCTGTATATTCGGGATGAAATTTCTTCATCTGAAATAGTCATACCAGCATTTGTAAAGATATAGTCTAACGGTTTTGTATCTGCTACTTTTGTTCTTTGTTTTTCAACCTGAAGCATTTAATATATGTAAAAATATATTGTTTTAAAATGGTATGCCATATAGCTTCTTGAATTTGTTAAGAAGTATTTGAACGTATTTTCCATCTGTATCTCTAGTGTTTACATAAGCATAGCCCGCCTTAGTAAAATATACTTGTAATTTCCTATAGTTTACGCCGGTATAAAAGTAGAAAGAGTCTTGTTCTTCGCTATAGTAGTAAAACTCAAACGTATGCTTGCCATAGTCTGTAATTTCAATTGTTTCATCTTCTAGTTCGTCGACAAATTCGAATACAATATCTCTAAATTTGCCTTTGTTCTTATTGTTTTCAGAACAAGTGACCCAACGTAAGTTTTCAAGTCTATTGTCGTTTCTTATACGGTTTATATGGTCTACAAAAGGTAAATTGTTAGGATTCAGTATAAAATGAGTTGCAATGACAACATGTTTAAGATAGTGTTTTCCACCCATCTTCATAACAGCATATCCGTTATTTCGCTCCCATTCGCTTAAAACTCTTTTTGTCTTTTTGTTTCTGACTTCAAATGACTCACAACAGTGAATTTCATATTTCTCATCTAACAAACAAGTTTCCCAACGGTCTTCTCCAACAAACTCAGCGTACATTTCAAATAAAATAAAAAAATGTCACTTTTTTAAAAATAAATTTTTTATTTCATGCAATGTTTAACACATCGAAAGGCATGTCCATAAGACGTTCTTCTTCTAACCTCTCTAGTCTGTTTGGATAATTGGCACGTGCTGTTTCCAAATCCATTTCGTAGCGAAGACCAGCCAGTTTGTCATAGACTTTTATGGGTCTTCCCTTCCTATATTTAAAATTCTTCGAAACTCTCCAACCATATCTTTGCAACTCTGCTTTTATTCTAGCAGACTTTCTATCCATTCTATATGGGGGCATTTTTATAAAAAGAAAAAAAATATTTTTTTCTTTACTTAACATAACCGCCTGCTGCCATAAGTCTTTGACGCCAACCCATACCAGCTAATGAAGGTTGACTTGGTTTAGTTTGGAAACTAAACTTTGGTTTTGGTTTCTCTTCAGTTTTTGGTTTCTCTTCTTCTATCGGTTTTTCTTCTTCTATCAGTTTTTCGTCACTTTTCGGTTCCTCTGACTTTACCCTACTTGCAGGAACAGTTGTGTCGTCAACATCTTCATAAATATCATATGCCATTTGTTTTTGTTTTCCTTTCAACTTTTTGTGTTTGTTGTAAAGTTTAGAATATTTCGACTCTAAGTCAATGAGATGTTCTATAATGAACTGTTGGTCAGTGAAGTAAACTTTTCCATCTGTTGTCTCGAAAGCTCCTTCAGACTTCAATATTTTATTTGTGAGAGTCTGTTTCTTTTTTGAGATACTAGCCGTTCCATTTCTATGAAAAGTGACTTTATAGTTAGGGTTTGTATTTCCAGACCTGGCACTTTCTATTATTGAATTTTTCTCTTCATCTGTAAGTTCTTTGACAGGTTTTGACAATGGTTCTGAACTTTTTGTTTGTGGTGTCAAATCTACCGTTTCAACTTCTTCGGTCATTTCATCTCAGTAAAAAATTTTAGTTTGGTTTGTTTTCAACTGGTTGTTGTTGTTTTTTAAGTCGGTCTAAAACTTCCTGAGGTATAGGAAGAACTTGACAAACACGTTGTGTAACTGCTGGAGCCGACAAATCCATCTTGAACCCATTTGTCTCAATGCTGTATTGTTCATTTCATCTCAGTAAAAAACTTTACATTCCCCACGTTTGAGGCGGTTGAGGTTGGTTATTGTTTACCCATTGTTGTGCATGGTTATATCCTCTGTTAAAGAATCTTTCACCTTGGTCCATATAGTGTCCTGCTTGGTTATAGTAGTCATTTGCTTTGTTATAATAGTTTCCTGCTTGTCTTCCTACATTGTCCATCCATCCTTGAACTTTTCCTCTTGTTTCAGGATTTGGAATAAGATTTGTTGCATCTCGTGCTACATCCCAACCTTTCTGTACAGTTTGTATAATAGGTTGTGCTTTCTCTTTAAGTATACCTAATGTACTCAAAATCTTCCTTCCAACTCCAAATACACCTCTGGCTATTGTTCCCACTGCGGGCAAAAATCTGGATGCAACTCCTGCTAATGCGCCAAATAAACCCATTTCTTATGGGTTAAAAAATGACGAATCCAAACAAGGACCCCTATGTTTCTAAAGCGACAAAGAAAGCACTCATGATAAAAATCTTTAGTTCAACACCAAATGCTTGGTTTATGGATATCTTGGAAAACATTCCGAGGTATAGAGAAGATGGACCACCATACTGGCTAATATTTGTTGGTCAAAACACAAGATACTGTGAAGCCATACCATTACAGTCCAAAAATATTTTAGATATCTTAGCAGCTTTGACAATATTCGTTGACAAATACCATCCAACAAAACTGACATCTGACTGTGAAAGTTCTTTCAAATCAGATGATGTAAAAAACTATCTGCGTTCAAAAAATGTAAACCAATATTTCATTGTCGACCAAAACCATTCTGCTCTTGGTGTCATTGACGGTTGTATAAAAATGTTAAGAGACTTAAACCAACCACAAGGTGGTGAAGCAAATGAAATGTCATATGATGACAAATATAGACACTTCTCCATGGCAAAGATGAGACAAGTTTTAAATATTTACAATAGCCGTAAACAAAAAGGTTTGGGAAACCACTCCCCGAAGAAATGAAAAACAACCCTGACTTAGAGAAAGACTATATATTTAATAATTTAGTCAAAAGAGACAAACAAGAAAGAATGCCGGGCTTCAAACTTCAGAAAGGTGACAAAGTAAAAATAGAAATACCTAAACGCGACCCATATGAAAATACTATTGACTATGACAACAATGGGAACCCGACAGGTACTCACATTCGTGTTCGTAAAAATAGAAGAAAGTATACAAGAGAATATTATGAAGTTTTAGGCAAACATGGCAAAATGTACACACTGCAAGCAGAAGATAAAACTACTATTGTCAGACCTCGTTTCAAACTTGTCAAAGTTCAAGGTGGTATACTTTCAAAGACAGTTCCTAACAAATATAAGACAACTCCTGACGAATATGCTAAAGAAGTTGAAAATGACGACTAAGCAATTCTATACCATGCGTAAACTGTCATGTAAGGTGGCATGTATTCTTTACTTTGTCCCGTTGTTTGCGTATATCCTGTAACGCGATGTGTATGGTTTCCATCTCCCTGAGTGTCACCCCAGAAACAATTTATAGCAAACTGAACGTCGTCTTTAACATCATATCCTTTACCTTTTTTCATTGCTGACCAATCCCAAAATTTATGCTTATGCCAACCTGCTTGAGATGTACTTAAATCTATGTAGTGACTGTGTGCAGGTAAATTTTCACCTGAAATCGTTTTACTTCCTCCTGTTTCCTTTGAAGAGTTTGCACAATACAAAAACCTGTCGACTATTTGTTCCCATGCACCAACACCAAACATTACTTGAGGACCTCTTGCTTCCATAGATGTATAAATAGAACCTACTGGGTTCATTAAATCAAACATATGAGATAATATAGGATTGTCTCTTTTGAACTTAAAATATAGTGCAACTATTTCAGGTTTCTTCTGGTTTGTGTCAGAATATTTTTTATAATATAATCTTATGTTTTCAGGGTAGGTAAAATCTTGACTATAATATTTATTTTTGTCATCTGTATAATAATATACTATTCTCGTTTTTTCTATTGCATTATATCTTTTATATCTATAATATTCTAAATATAATGTTTGCTTTTTTGGGTCTACATGTGCGTCAACACCATAGTCATAATAATATGGTGCTGGAGCTGGGTCAGCCAACGTCATACCTGCCATTTCATAAACTCTTAAATATTTCTTTTGTTCGTCTCCATATAAGTTTAAGTAACAGTTGTTGTCTAATGGAACTTTAACTTGTGTACCATCATTCTTTATATAGCCTACATACATTTCATTGTTATTTTTCGGAATGAGTTTATACCGTATACCATTTTTTAAGGAGTGTACAAACTCCCATCTAAAATATTTGTTTTCTTCATTGAAAGAAAAGTCACCAACAATAGTTTCAATATTTTTTGTTGTTCCTATCAAACTTTGGTATATTTCATTGACATATGTTTTATCTGCTTTCTTTTCAAGGCTAACGTTTAAGTCTGTTATTTCAGAAGATGTATGTGTATGTCCAACGTCACTTTTACTGTTTAAGGTTTCTTGTAAGTTTGTAATATTTGCAATGGTATGTGTATGTCCAACGTCACTTTTACTGTTTAAGGTTTCTTGTAAGTTTGTAATATTTGCAATGGTATGTGTATGTCCAACGGCACTTTTCCTGTTTAAGGTTTCTTGTAAGTCTGTTATTTCAGATATAGAATGTATATGAGTCTTTTTAGAATATTCGTTTTCAGCTCTTGTCACTTCACTTGACATTTTATTGTCAACATATGTTTTGTCTGCTAGTTCAGGATGAGTATGTTCTTTTGTTGCATAAGCATTGTTAGCTCTTTCTTCTTCTTTTGCTATTGCATCGTCTACATATTCTTTGTCAGCTTTGTTGTCAACATCTGCTTTCAAAAGAAGTTCATTTATAGGTTTCTCGTTTAAAGTTCCTTTTGTTGGATTTATACAGACAGTATGGTTCTTATTGTCTTGAAATAGAAACTCATCTGTCATTGGGTTTATTGTCAGTTTTAAGTTTCCTTCTTTCAATGACTCAGATATCTTAGAATAGTTTGAAAAGTTTGTTGTGTTCTTATTTAGAGCTTGCATAATGAGTTGTCGGTTGTGTTGTATTTCTCTCATGGAAGCAATATCTTTCGACATTTTTATTCTAGATAAAATATGCTTCCAATAGAAAAAGAAAATTCAAGAGTTGCTACAACTAAACCATTAGATGAACTTTTTACTAATGTCGGTCAAAAGTTTGAGACAGAGACCGTAAAGCATGAAGGCTATCGTTTTGACTACCCATTAAGATGGCTAAGAGACCCATCTGTCACAAAAGCTATTGGCTTTCGTAGAATGAAGTTTGTGTCTGTAGAAGATAAAAGTTTTCCATTTATTGTAAGGTTTCATATAGATTATATATCTGAAGGGAAACGAAAAATGTGGGAAGAAATTGAGCTAATACAAGTTGACCTTTCATCTTCTCTACAGACTGCGTTAAAAAATATAGAAGATAAAATAAATTCATGTTATGCAAAATATGCTGATGAATATGCAAATACCGAGAGCACACTTTATGTGAGAATTGTATATGACAAACAAAATTCACAAGTGTCATTTCAAATCTACGAAGACAATCCAAAGAAAGACGAACAAATATATACAGAATTCACTGCAATGTCATGGTATTATTTGCAAAGAATGTTAAATCAGAAAGTCAAACTTCCTTTAGCAAATATTTACAGTCGATATGCAAGAGATGAACCATATTTATTTAAAGATGTTTTCGACCCAGCTGCTATTATTGTTCATGCTTCATTTTCTGGCGCCCAAAACTCTTTCTTATGCTTGGCAAATGACTTTTACGAAAAACCTACAAAGTTATACGAACCACCAAGTGGAAGTATTTCAGACTTTCAAGTATGGTTTACTACAGATGGAAGAAAAAGAATAATTCCATTATACCATGCGTTTTACTTAGAACTTAGTTTCATATACAACTACTATCGAACGGTAAAAATATAATTTTTTAATATACCGGTTGTGGTGTTGGATTTGGTTGCCAACTAGACTGTGGTGCAGGTTCAGGCTGTTGTATAACAGGAGCTTGTTCTTCTGGTTCAGGGTCTTTAGGTATAATACCAACAAACTGACCTACTCTTTTACCAATATTTTTGACACCGTTCCATACTCCTCTTCCGACAGATTTTATTCCATTCCATATACCTCTTCCAACATTTCGAAAGAAGTTTCCAATACTACTGAAGAAACCCATTTTACTATATGTAAAAATCTAATGTCCGCCTAGTCTCTTACGTTTCCTGTTGAGTTCCATAGCATTCTTTAACTGGAGCTCATACATTCTGTTTCTCCTCTGGTAGAAAACATATTCTGGGTCAACTCCTGTGTTCGCGTCATCTGCATAAAGTTGTTTATATCCCACTTCAGGGTTTGTATAAAACTCTTTCCATCTCATATTTGCATACCATGGTGGCAAACCTAACGCAGCGTCATTTGACATGGCAGTTTGCATTTGTACATCTGTTGGCACTTGACCATAGTTTGCCATTGCAGTTTGTATTCTAACTTCATTTGGAATATTCTCTGGGTTTGGTTGTCCAGGTTGCTGTGCATTCGCTAAGTTCTGTGCGTCCATTTAATATTAGATAAAAATATCTCTTACGAGTACATATACTGAACATTTGCAGGCATTGGTTCATCTTCATATTCTCTGTACTTTTCTGCCACGTCAAATAAATAAATGACACAATGGAAAAAACCTAAAACAAGTAGTCCTATTTCAAACCACATTTACTTACTAATAAAATTTCTTTGTTATGACACTTTCTCCAGTTTATAGGACCTCTCTCATATTCTATCTTGTCATATATAAACTCATAGTCGTTTATATCTTCTAGCCATTTCATGACACTTTCTAAACCACTTTTATCGGATGTAAAGTAAAAGCATGGATGGTTATGTATAACGTCTAAAGTTTCTAAAGAGTCTCTCAAAGTCCAGTCTACTTGGTATTGAAAATCCCATGTGTTATAGAACGGCGGGTCCACTATAAAGAAAACTTTTTCCTTGTCTTTATATTTTTCATACAACTCTGTCCAATGACATCTCACAAACTCTATACCCTCAATATATTTTTCTATGTCCTCTTTGAAAACATTTGTATAGTTAAGATATAAAACTTTTGACATAAGTGTTTCAATGTCATGAACTCTTATAGAACCACTATATAATAGTCTAGCAGATATACTATCCCAGTCTATATATTCTGCTTTTTTCAAAACCTCTCTCACAATATTTTTCTTATCTAATGGTATACGTTCCATCTTACCTATAGGTATCTTTTCTTTTAACTCTTTCAATATATTGTTTGTGTCTGGTATATGTTTGAGACGGTCCATATAGTTGTCGAAGTCATTGCATATAATCTTTGAGTCTGGGAATATTATATGGCACAAATGGGATATATAGAAACTTCCACCGAACAAATCTACAAATGTTAGACCATTCGGTAGTTTCTTAAGTTCTCTCAATATAATATCTTTACATCTACTCTTATTTCCAAAGAACGGTAACGGTGGTTTTGTAAAATTCATTTATATATAATAATAAAAATGTTTTTACCCGAAAAGTGACAGAAAAGTGACAAAACATGAAAACATATATAATTTGTGAAAAGCTCCTGGAAGACCCGTATATATAAGAACTTCATTTATAATAATCATCTTCAGGGCTAGAAGGCACGAAGTGCCTGGAAGCCCCACTACCTTTTTTTTTTTTTTCATTAAAATATGAGTAATACAGTGCATGCATGTATACATGATGAAACTCAATTACTAGTTTTTGGTTATGAAAAATATTTGGAAATAAATGCAACATCAGAGCACTTTTGAACGAAGATTTGTTAGCCCAATCGTTAATTTATATTAATTCTATGAAGTAATAGCTTTAAAAAAAACATTCAGCAAGAAATTGAAATAGAATGATAAATTATTGATGTCATTAGTGCAAAGTAATATTAGTAATACCAATTTTGTCAGAATTATTGTATATTTCATTGATGATTTTTAAATATTTTGCAATTTGAAGGGGAGATATTTCATGACATATTTTTTAACAATGTCTTTGGGAAGTATATATAGTTATTAAAAAATGATGTTTGTTTTGTTTACTACAAGAAGCAAATAAAAATAAACATAATATAAAACAAAAAAAATAGATAATATTAATTAGAATTGTAAGAAAGTAGCATTTTTGATATGAAATCCTCCACTTTCTCATCATCATTCATTCCGAGCAAAGATCTAACTCTGAAATCCTGTTTCTTGAGTCTAGAAATATCATTTGAAGCATTGATGATTATGCTATTATATGTTTCTTCGTTCAAAGGCGAGCAGATATCAAAGTAATCAGACAAATGTTTTGCTGCAAAATTAATTATTTTTCTAATTTCTTCTTGGCAAGAGTTTCTTTCTTTTCTTGCAGTCTCTTCCGCCTTCATTTCATAGGATATCTTCATTGCCTTCTCTTTTGCATTCAGTATCTGGTCGTGTGATTTCTGCAAGTCCTTCAAACTCTCTATTTCCTTTTTGATGAATTCGTTTTCTGTTTCCATTTCAATCCTCTTCTTCTTTTCCTCGCTGTGTCTTCTTTCGCTTTCGACCAGAGCGTTCATTGTCTTGTTGTGGAGTTCGCTCAGTTCTCTGAACTTGAGAGACTTTTCGTCAAGCAGTTTCTTGTTCTTCTGATCGATTTCTTCCTTTTGTTTCTTGTTTTCAATTTCGATTTCGGAAATCTGGACTTCGTAATCTGTTTTGATGTTGTCGATTTCTGTGTTCAAATTCGAAATTGTCTGCTTCAAACTGTTGACTAAGTTCTCTGCATTGAGTAGCTTGTTCATGAGGTTGCTGTTTTCGTCTGAAAGTCTCTTGTTTTCCTCTTCTTTTTCGGAAATTTTGTCCGAAAGTTTCTCATTTTCTTCTTTGTTTTTGTCTTGGATTTCTTTCAGTTTCATCTCGTACTCATCGTCTTTTTCGGTCAGTCTTAGCTGCTTCTCCTGCTCTGAGGATGAATTACATGACTTGAGTCGCTCGAGATCTTTCTGTAATTCGTAGTTTTTGTTATTGACAGTTTTCAATTGATTTGTAAAGTATTCAATTTTTGTATTAAATTCTTTAATTTTCTTTTGGTTGTTTTCTTCCTCAAGAGAGAGTTTCGCGCGAAGTTCCTTGTTTTGCTGCTTCTTATCGTCAAGCTTCTTACGTGTGCGCTCTAAACAGCTTATCGTCTTTTGTAAACTATTGAAAATTTGATCGATTTCGTATTCAACATTTTCAGAACCAATTTTTTGATAAATTTTTTCCAAAATTTCTTGGTATTTTTCCATATTGAATTTTGCATTGTCCAATTCTTCGAAAATCTCTGTCATGCAGGTGATGAAATCGTCTGGACTCGTGATGTTCCGTTTTAGAACTTCAGAAAGAGCTAAAAGATAATTGGCCAGTTCACTTTTGGTTGAATCATTTTCTTTCTTCAATTTTGAGATATTCTCAGCTGAATTTGCAATCAGAGAGTTGTAATATGATGAAATTACCTGGAGAACTCTCCGAAGTTTCTGGCTGTCGTTCAGTTCCTTTGAAGAAGAGATCAAATTGATTTGCTGGCATAATTCACGCGGAAAATCTGCACAATAGTAACTTGTCGACGGTATTTCTTCTTTAATAAGTTTAATTATAGTCTTTTCTTCTGTTTTTTCTGGTTTCGGTTGATCATTTAATTTGGAAATCAAATAGTTTTGTTTCTGAAGTAAAATAATCAATTTCTCTCTTTGGCTTATTAGTTCTGTGATTTCCTTCTTGCATTGATCGACTTCATCGCTGATCTTTTTGTTGGCTTTCAATATTGAATTTTTATTTGCTTCAGAAGTTTCGGATGCAAGCTTTGCTTGGTTGTAGCTGGTATGTGCTGCACGAACCTCAGCTAGTAATGACTCTTTTTCTGTCTTTAAAGACTCTATTTCCCTATGTAATTTTTCATTTTCGATAGAAATTAAATTTGTATAACTTTCTCTTTGTTCTCGTTTGTCTTTTGATTTGTTATTAAGTATTTTCTGCTTTGTTTCGAGCTCTGCTAGTTTCAAAAGTAAGTTATTTGATTTAAGTTTTTCTTTTTCAAGGTTTTCTTGTGTATCGTGTAGTTTCTGGAGTATCTGTAAGTCATTCTTTTCTTCTTTTGGTTCAGGTTGTTGCTTTTCCTGTTTAATATTCTGTAAATTCGATAGTTGCGAAGTTAGACGATCAATTTTAGCTTTTAGGGATTGTATTTGATCTTCATATAGTTTGTTCGATTTCTCTGCTCTGATATTATTTAGTTCCAATTGATGGTTAAACTCTGTTTGATTTGTTTGGAGCTTTTCCGTAAGAGTTTTAATTTGTACTGTAGCTAAATCGAGATCGTTTTCGAGTTCTTTAACTCTTATGTCTAATTCAAAAACTATTCCTTTTAATTTTGAATTCTTTTCTTTTAATTTTGAATTTTGATCAAGAATTTTTTGATCCTGTATGATAACTTCCTTTGGTTGTTCCTGAACTGCTTGTTTTGCGCTTGTCAATGCATTGATTACAGCTGAAAAGTTCGAAAAATCATAACCAAAATGAAATTTCGACGCAGTAAGTAACTGATTAAGTGATTTTCGCTTTTCTGACAACTCATTTGATAATTGTTGGGCAATATCATCTTTTTGTTTCTTTTCTTTCTCGAAATCGTTTTTTAACGTTTGGATCAAATCTACAAGCTCTTTCTGTTTCTGCATCATTAAAGAAACAGTGGTGTTATTTTTTCCATTGATCTTGGTGTTTTTGGCTTCGTCAGCTTGTTTTTGTAAGAGAAATGTAAATCTGTTCTGTAAATCATCATATTTTGCATTTAAATCATGTAAATTTTGTTGGAGAGTACTGTTTTCTCTTTGTAATATTTCGTTTTTCTCAACAAATCCGAGAGCTTGCTGATAATCGAGTTTTAACGACGCAATTGCTTCAATGTACTGCTGATTCTGGATACGAAGCTTCCTATTCAAGTCTGACAATTGTTGAATATCTAATGATTCATCAGATTCAAAAGAAGAAGAAAGCCCGCTCATTTTGTTTTCCAAAAAATTATATAGTATAAAAAGTGACAATATGGCGGGAAAAAGCATTGGGGAGAAGCTTCCTAAACTTTTTAATCCCATAAATATGGTCATTATCTGGAATAAAGAGTTAAGCGTCATATGTCACTTTTTGTACTAAGGAAACATCGACTTTATGCGTTATGACTTTTCGATGAGGAAACAAGTGTTCACGTATTATAAACTTCCTTATCCCAATAAACCGGCCCTAAACATAATTAATTTTAAGCATTATAATGGTCTCTTTTCTATGATAACCAAATCAATTTGGTTATCATAGAAAAGCACCAAAAACTAGAATAGGAATCGGCAATATGGAATTATGAAACAACTAGGATAAAATGGATATGGGACATTCATGAATGCATTCACTTTTTTCAAGACTTTTTAATGAATTTCAAATTCCTCAGATTATTTTCAATAGATTTTCCGTACCATATCATTTTTATTAGACAAAGCTATCTTTTCGATGAAATTTTTGCAAAAATACTCTGTTTTGAAAAAGATTTATGTAAATTTTTTGATAAAAGTGTCTTGAATGATTATCATTGATAATACCATTCCAATTGAATGCTGTTTTCGGCTGCTTTTATAAAAATTTGATCATATTGTACTCATAATTTTTTTTTGTATTTTGGTCAAAAACTAAGCTAACATCAGCTGTATATTTGCATAAGCCATTAATAAGCTTTGGTATAGGTTATACTGAGTTTAGACGATCATACAATTTAGACTTTTTTCATTTAATTTAGTCTAACAAAGAGTGATTATCTTACTATTTGATTCATAAATATATAGGAAATAATAGTTTTATAAAAAAAAGGTAGTGGGGCTTCCAGGCGCGTTGCGCCCTCTAGCCCTGAAGATGTTTAGTATAAATGAAGTTTATATTCGGAGGGCTTCCAGGCGCGTTGCGCCCTCTAGCCCTGAAGATGTTTAGTATAAATGAAGTTTTTATTCGGAGGGCTTCCAGGCGCGTTGCGCCCTCTAGCCCTGAAGATGTTTAGTATAAATGAAGTTTATATTCGGAGGGCTTCCAGGCGCGTTGCGCCCTCTAGCCCCGAAGATGTTTAGTATAAATGAAGTTTTTATTCGGAAAATTGTTAGTCTTCTGGGTCGAAAACATTATATAATGTGTCACTTTTCACAAATTATATATGTTTTCATGTTTTGTCACTTTTCTGTCACTTTTCGGGTAAAAACATTTTTATTATTATATATAAATGAATTTTACAAAACCGCCGTTACCGTTCTTTGGAAATAAAAGTAGATGTAAAGATATTATATTGAGACAACTTAAGAAACTACCGAATGGTCTAACATTTGTAGATTTGTTCGGTGGAAGTTTCTATATATCCCATTTATGTCATACCGTATTTCCTGACTCAAAGATTATATGCAATGACTTCGACAACTATATGAACCGTCTCAAACATATTCCAGACACAAACAATATATTGAAAGAGTTAAAAGAAAAGATACCTATAGGTAAGATGGAACGTATACCATTAGATAAGAAAAATATTGTGAGAGAGGTTTTGAAAAAAGCAGAATATATAGACTGGGATAGTATATCTGCTAGACTATTATATAGTGGTGCTATAAGAGTTCATGACATTGAAACACTTATGTCAAAAGTTTTATATCTTAACTATACAAATGTTTTCAAAGAGGACATAGAAAAATATATTGAGGGTATAGAGTTTGTGAGATGTCATTGAACAGAGTTGTATGAAAAATATAAAGACAAGGAAAATGTTTTCTTTATAGTGGACCAGCCGTTCTATAACACATGGGATTTTCAATACCAAGTAGACTGGACTTTGAGAGACTCTTTAGAAACTTTAGACGTTATACATAACCATCCATGCTTTTACTTTACATCCGATAAAAGTGGTTTAGAAAGTGTCATGAAATGGCTAGAAGATATAAACGACTATGAGTTTAGATATGACAAGATAGAATATGAGAGAGGTCCTATAAACTGGAGAAAGTGTCATAACAAAGAAATTTTATTAGTAAGTAAATGTGGTTTGAAATAGGACTACTTGTTTTAGGTTTTTTCCATTGTGTCATTTATTTATTTGACGTGGCAGAAAAGTACAGAGAATATGAAGATGAACCAATGCCTGCAAATGTTCAGCATATGTACTCGTAAGAGATATTTTTATCTAATATTAAATGGACGCACAGAACTTAGCGAATGCACAGCAACCTGGACAACCAAACCCAGAGAATATTCCAAATGAAGTTAGAATACAAACTGCAATGGCAAACTATGGTCAAGTGCCAACAGATGTACAAATGCAAACTGCCATGTCAAATGGCGCTGCGTTAGGTTTGCCACCATGGTATGCAAATATGAGATGGAAAGAGTTTTATACAAACCCTGAAGTGGGATATAAACAACTTTATGCAGATGACGCGAACACAGGAGTTGACCCAGAATATGTTTTCTACCAGAGGAGAAACAGAATGTATGAGCTCCAGTTAAAGAATGCTATGGAACTCAACAGGAAACGTAAGAGACTAGGCGGACATTAGATTTTTACATATAGTAAAATGGGTTTCTTCAGTAGTATTGGAAACTTCTTTCGAAATGTTGGAAGAGGTATATGGAATGGAATAAAATCTGTCGGAAGAGGAGTATGGAACGGTGTCAAAAATATTGGTAAAAGAGTAGGTCAGTTCGTTGGTATTATACCTAAAGACCCTGAACCAGAAGAGCAAGCTCCTGTTATACAACAGCCTGAACCTGCACCACAGTCTAGTTGGCAACCAAATCCAACACCTCAACCGTATTAAAAAATTATATTTTTATCGTTCGATAGTAGTTGTATATGAAACTAAGTTCTAAGTAAAACGCATCGTATAATGGAATTATTCTTTTTCTTCCATCTGTAGTAAACCATACTTGAAAGTCTGAAATACTTCCACTTGGTGGTTCGTATAACTTTGTAGGTTTTTCGTAAAAGTCATTTGCCAAGCATAAGAAAGAGTTTTGGGCGCCAGAAAATGAAGCATGAACAATAATAGCATCTTGGTCGAAAATATTTTCATATGTTCCATTAGGGTTTTCGACTTCATAATAGTCCGGGTGTACTGGATATGCTGCAGGCTGATTTAACATCCTCATAAATCTATACCATGCCAAGTTGTTATATTTTGTAGAAATATAAACGTTTTCTCCAAGGTCTTCTATTTTATTGATTTTAACAGTTGCATTTTTCCTGTCATAAATAATATCGAGATGGTATTCTCCTTCGTCAATGTTAAACTGGTTTGCATATTCAATATAGATATCGTTTATTTTTCTTGAAAAGCTTGAAGAGTTGTTTCTAAGTTTATAAGCAAATTAACTTGTAAAAGTTTTCCTTGTTCAAATTTCTCATACATACGTTTTTCTTTGTTATAGTATCGAACTTCAAAACCGACCGTAAATGGGAAACCATGTATGGCTTCTGAAATGAACTTCATTCTACGAAAGCCAATAGCTTTTGTGACGGATGGGTCTCTTAACCATCTTAATGGGTAGTCAAAACGATAGCCTTCATGCTTTACGGTATCTGTCTCAAACTTTTGACCGACATTAGTAAAAAGTTCATCTAATGGTTTAGTTGTAGCAACTCTAGAATTTTCTTTTTCTATTGGAAGCATATTTTATCTATAATAAAAATGTCAAATGAAACAGCGTCTATGAGAGAAATACAACACAACCGACAACTCATTATGCAAGCTCTAAATAAGAACACAACAAACTTTTTCAAACTATTCTAAGATATCTGAGTCATTGAAAGGGGGTGACTTAAAACTGACAATAAACCCAATGACAGATGAGTTTCTATTTCAAGACAATAAGAACAATACTGTCTGTATAAATCCAACAAAAGGAACTTTAAACGAGAAACCTATAAATGAACTTCTTTTGAAAGCAGATGTTGACAACAAAGCTGACAAAGAATATGTAGACGATGCAATAGCAAAAGAAGAAGAAAGAGCTAACAATGCTTATGCAACAAAAGAACATACTCATCCTGAACTAGCAGACAAAACATATGTTGACAATAAAATGTCAAGTGAAGTGACAAGAGCTGAAAACGAATATTCTAAAAAGACTCATATACATTATATTAACCAAATACCAAGTCTTAAGGAAACATTAGAGACAAAAGCAGATAAGACTCATACACATTCTATATCTGATATTACAAACTTACAAGAAACCTTAAACAGGAAAAGTGCCGTTGGACATACACATACCATTGCAAATATTACAAACTTACAAGAAACCTTAAACAGGAAAAGTGCCGTTGGACATACACATACCATTGCAAATATTACAAACTTACAAGAAACCTTAAACAGGAAAAGTGCCGTTGGACATACACATACCATTGCAAATATTACAAACTTACAAGAAACATTAGAGACAAAAGCAGATAAGACTCATACACATTCTATATCTGATATTACAAACTTACAAGAAACCTTAAACAGGAAAAGTGACGTTGGACATACACATTCTATATCTGATATTACAAACTTACAAGAAACCTTAAACAGGAAAAGTGACGTTGGACATCACATACATCTTCTGAAATAACAGACTTAAACGTTAGCCTTGAAAATAAAGCAGATAAAACATATGTCAATGAAATATACCAAAGTTTGATAGGAACAAAAAATATTGAAACTATTGTTGGTGACTTTTCTGTCAATGAAGAAAATAAATATTTTAGATGGCAGTTGGTACAGTCCTTAAAAAATGGTGCACGGTGTAAACTCATTCCGAAAAATAACAAGAAAGTATGTAAGCTATAAAAAGAATGATGGTATACAAGTTAAAGTTCCATTAGACAACAACTGCTACTTAAACTTATATGGAGACAAACAAAGAAATATTTAAAGAGTTTATGAAATGGCAGATACATGCCTGACCCAGCTCCGGCACCACATTATTATGACTATGGAGA